TACCTACTTCGAAAATCTTCACTCACAAGGGTAGAAAACACAGAAGAAATGGACACATTTCTAGAAATGTGAACTACAAAGCTCAATCAAGAAGATATAACAATTTTGAATAACCCAATATCAGCTATTGAAATTGAAAACTTCCCAACAAAAAAAGACCAGTTCCTGAAGGAATCACAGCTGAATTGTACAAGAAACATAAAGGTTAAACTCCAAAACTCCTCAAACTCTTCAATGAAACTGAAATGGAAGCAATCTTCCCTAACTCATTCCTGGAGGTAAGTATTACCCTGATACCAAAACTAGAGAAAGATCCAACCAAACAGAAGAATTATAGACCAATCTCACTAATGAACACTGATTCAAAGATTCTCAATAAAATACTGGCAAACAGAATGCAGGAAATCATTAAGAAGTTTATATACCACAATCAAGTGGGATTTATTCAAGGAATGCAGGGATGGTTTAACATACACAAATCAATAAATGTAATGCACACATCAACACAGCCAAAAACAGAAGTCACATGATCATCTCAATAGACACAGAAAAAGCTGTTGATAAAGTCCAACATTTGTTCATTATACAAACCCTATAGAATTGTGTAGGGAGCCGTGCGACAGCCCCATTGCTGCCTCCCTGCCTCTCTCTTTCTCCTATGGGCACAATGCGTCTGCCTACATTAACCATAATCCTCTCCTGCTTACGTCACATACCCAGATGTGACGATGACCCTGTTGTATTCATCCCCATAGCCTCTTCCTGTCCCACCAGCCCGCCCTTGGCCTATAAAAGATGCAATCACTTCTGGAATAAACGGGGCTTGATTGGATTCTCTCAACTTGCCTCAGTCTCTCTCTCTGTCTCTCCCATATTTTTATTTAATCCCCGTTCTCCTCCAGGTCACCCCACGGATTGATCCACGGGCCGGATCAGAATTGGGGCTGGGGATTTATCTCAACTGCATAAGCTCCTGCCTTGCAAGTGCGTGGTCGTGAGTTTGATCCCCAGTACCGATAAGAAAAAAAAAAAAAAAAAAAAAAAAAACCTATAGAAACTTAGAATACAGTAACAACCTTAATCTGATAAAGGCCATCTATGACAAACCAACAGCCAACATTATACTAAATGGACAAAAACTGAAAGCTTTCACTCTAAAATCAAGAACAAGAAAAGGATGTCCAGTATCGCCACTTCTATTCAATATAGCTCTGGAAATATTAGCCAGAGCAATCAGACAAGAGAGAGAAATAAAAGGAATAAAGATAGAAAAGCAAGAAGTTAAATTATCACTATTTGCAGATGACATTATACTCTATATAAAAGACACCAAAAACTCTAAAGACTAATAGAGTTAATAAACAAATTCAGCAATGGAGCTGGATACAAAGTCAACACTGAAAAATCACTAGCAATCCTGTAAACAAACAAAAAACTCACTGAGCAAGATATTATGGAAATATTGCCTTTCACAATAGCATCTAAAAAATGAAATACTTAGAAAGCAACCTAACCAAGAATATAAAAGACATATATGCTGAAAATTATGCTACTCTTAAAAAAAAGAGAGAGATTGAAGAGGATTTTAGAAAATGGAAGAATATTCCTTCCTCTTGGCTAGGAAGAACCAACAATGTGAAAATGGCCATATTCCCAAAACTGTTATACAGATTTAATGAAATCCCAATCAAAATACCATTGACATACCTCACATATCTAGAGAAAACCCTCCTAAAATTCATTTGTAAATTGAAGAAACCTAGAATAGAAAAGGTGATTCTGGGCAACAAAGGCAAGGTAAAAGGCATCTCAATTCCTGACTGGAAATTATACTACAAAGCTACAGTGATAAAATCTGTGTGGTACTGGCAAAGAAAATAAACCTGAGGATCAATAGAACAGATTAGAAAATGCAAACACAACTACAAAGTCACTCAACCATCTGATATTTGACAAAGGATACCAACACATTCACTAGAAGAAAGATAGCCTCTTTAACAAACAGTGTTGGAAAAACTGGCTTTCTATATGCCGAAACTAGATTCCATGTCTATCACCCTGCACTAAACTAAAGTCAAAATGGATGAAAGATCTAAATATTAAAAGAAACACTAAGTCTACTGGAAGACAAGGTAGGTAGAAATCTTGGAGACACAGGGATAGTCAGAGAGTTCATGAACAAAACCCAAGCCAATGGGAAGTACTTCAAAGAATCAACAACTGGGATCTCATCTTATGAAAAAGTTTTTGCACTTCAAAAGAAGTCAACAAGAAAGTGAAAAGAAAACTCACAGAATGGGAAAGAATTTTGGCAAGCAACCCCTCAGACAAAGGACTTATATCCAGAACTCATAAAGAATTGAAAAACATGAAGCCCCCAAAATCAAAGACCCTCTCCAAAAGTGGGCATCTGAGATGAACACACATTTCTCAGATGAAGATATACAAATGGTAAATACATACACGAAGAAATGTTCACCATCACTGGTCACTGGAAAAATGCAAATTAAAGCAGCATTGAGATTTCATCTCACTTGGGAAAGAATGGCTGCCATCAGGGAATTAACTGATAACAAATGTTAGCGAGGCTGTGGAGGAAAAAGAACACTTCTCCACTGCTGGTGGGAGTGTAGACTTGTGCAGCCACTGTGGAAATCAGTAGGGAGATTTCTCAGAAAACTAGAATTGGAAGTGCCATTCAATCCAGCTATTCCTCTCCTGGATATTTTCCCATAAAAATTGAAAAGGTCATGTCACAGTGATATATGTGCACCCATGTTTATAGCAGTGCAATTTTTAATAGCTAAATCTTGGAAACAACCCAAGAATGAATGAACAAGATGTGATATTTTTATACAATGGAGTATTACTCGGCTATAAAAAAGGATGATCTTGAGGCTTTTACAGATAAATGGAGGCAACTTGAGAATATCCTCATAAGTGAATCAGACTCACATTTGTAAATATGTCGTATTGTCTCTCTAGTATAAAAATAATAAAAAACTGAAAGAGTAATAAGATTCAAAATCTATAATAGATATTTTAATAATTAAAGGGAAAGAAAGTGCTCTGAAGGATATAACTGTATGTATAAGTGTGCAAGACAGATAACCCTATTACTAAGTTTTTGTTAGTTCATCAGACAGAAATTTCTACTCATTGTTTGAGAGTCCATTGTTTATGCTTTGATTTTGCAACTTGAATAACTACTTCTAAGATAACAATATGTGATTTATCAACTAGTGATTTCTTATTGTCATTTTTTCGACTAGTCATTACTGGGTCTTTTTTGAAATTCTGTGTTTCTACCCTTTTTTTTCTATTCTGTTTTTGTCTCTAAATAAAAAAATACACTTTATAAAAATTCTATCAACCCTACCAAATAATACCAATTGAAATATTTCTATTGAAAGTGAGTCCTAAGAGACAACCCTAACCCAACCCATCCCCTGTAAGTGATCAGCTAATCCAGAGAAACACAAGGTGCAAGATAGCTATTGAAGCAATTTGATGCTTGAGGTGTTTGGTGTTTCATTGACTTTGCAGGTCTAGGGCCAGTGGTCTGATCATCTATTGAGAGGATAACGGTACACAGTATGGCATCTATGGAGGATCTCCTTCTGAAGGTGGTATACAATTTTCATTGTTTTGTTGGGCTGGGTTTTATTCTGCTTTGTTTTGTGTGATTTTATTTTATCCAATGGTATGGGTAGCTATTTCAAAGATAATAAAATATATTATGGTAGCAATTTTAGATTTACTATTGTCTTGTTTTGACATCTTTTATTGCATTCATTGTTTTGTTTTTATTGGTTCTTTTTGTTCTGTTTGATTTTTACTATGTCTGAGGGTATCTGCAAGTATTTTGGAGACAAGTGGCATTAAGGTTACATTGTTGATTTCATATTGTTTGGAAGTCCTGTCAACTGGTTTGTTTTGATTGGTTTTATTCTATTTTATTTTGCTTAGTTTTATTCTCTTTAAAATAAAAAATTTAAAAATACATTAAAAATTGAATCCTATAAACTTTCAATTGCAGGAGTAGAATTATAGTTTCATTTTCTTTAAAACACCACTTAAAAGAGAGAAGAGGGAGGAACATAGGGAAGAAAGGAAAAAAAAAAACAGGAAGATTATTCTAGAGGAGCACAACAAATGAAAAAATAAACACTTGAAAAGAAAAAAAAGTCTAATATTAATATCATAATTTAAGTGCTTTTACATCATACAGTGAGATACCTATAGTGGCAAAGGACGCTGAAGTGTAATGCATTATAACAACTCAAAGCACGGCAACGCTCTCTGAACATAACACATCGATACCACAACCTGCAGCTGACAGAGGTGCTTGGTTTTGTTCAAGGAATTCAAAACTTCTATGGTTACTTTTGCTTTTGTTTATGTTTTCACTACGACAATAAATTGAGCAACAATATTCCATTTTAAATACAAAGGTATACGAAAAACAATTTGCTTAAACAGGGAAGGCAAATAGCATAGTAGTTATCTGCTTAGACTATAAAGTTCCAAGCCCTCATTTCGCACTTAACCAAATGTATGGGTAAGACAAGGTATTAACCTCTTTAGGACGACTTTCCTCTTCCTGAAAGTGGATCTAAGTAAGAGCTTCAGTGATACAGTAGTTTTAGCAAGTTATATATTGACAACAATAAGAACAGCCTATAATAATAAAATTTTCAACTCTGGGCCTCTAGAATACAAAAATATTTTTCTTAATCAGAACTCCTGCCTCTCTCATTAAACATTTTACTTTATAATAAAAGAAACAGACAATTCCATGAAATAAAACCATACTTCCTCTCACTAACTATAATATAGTTATTGTGTCTCATTCTTAAAAAGTGCAAAAAATTATTCTGTTTCACAAAGTTTTCTGAATAAAACGATGACTAAGTAATCATACACTACAATTCCATTTTATAATTATGTATTAGGAAAGTAACTGAAAACTTTAAGGCACAAGGAGAACTCATAATTACTTTCATCTTCTCTACTGAGTCCCTGGAGAAAGTTTTACAAGCTGCGTCAATTTCCTTCCCTATCACTCCAAGAATAGATTCTTGTTCAGTCTCCAGACAAAGAAGTTGATCCTTAAGCTGCAATCTTGCCTCTTCCATCCTCCGTAAGTGCTCTTCTTCATTGCTTAAGTGCTTTTCCTAAGACATTGATAAGAAAAAAAGAACCAAAAATTAATTACTAACAAACCAGGAAATACATACAATATCTATAAAAACACAGACTCACATCAGAAAACAGATCTGAAATTGTCAAATGTAAGATAAAACTACCAATTGTAACTGAGGTAAAGTTACAGAGCTCAGAAGAAAAGCCACTGGGAAACAGGTGAACAGATACTTGGCAAAGAATATTACTGCAATCAAACACCAAAACTACAAAAAATTACTTTACCATTCTAACAACATATTACCAGTAAGAGACCAAAATCTTAAAGCTAATGCCACAAAGTGACTTTGAATTTGTCCTAACATTAGGAAAAATACAAGAAAATATAATGCACCAAAAATAATGTTGCTAATTCTTATTATGAAAACACATGCATACCCAAACACACACACCCACACACACACACACATACACACACACTCCCAAGTGTTACCACGTTTATTTCACAAGAAAATTTTTTTTAAAAACCTTACTTTTCAAATGAAGTCATATTACATTAAATGCTTCTAAAATATGAAAATCTGATGAAAGTGAAGATATAATACAAGAAAATAAATACATTTATTGAAATGAGTTTTTAAGGAGTCTTCCAAGAGATTACAGAGACTTGAGGCTTATTCTAGACAAAACAATTCTCAACCACTATGGTTACATAATTTTATTATAAATTGACGGTTCTTAATTTGAAGCAACAAATGCCCACAAACCCAAAACACCAATATAATACTAAACAGTTTCAGAATTTGTAGCATTTTGGATTTCCAGTTAGTGATTTCTCAAATGGTAAAGTCCATGCAAATTAATTTTTTTCCAAAATCCAAAATAAAATTTGAAATCTAAAATACTTCTGGTCCCAAAAATTTCAGATACATGAAAGTCAACCAGTTCAGGGGGCTGGGGATTTAGCTCAGCGGCATAAGCGCTTGCCTTGCAAGCAGGCAGTCGTGAGTTCGATCCCTGGTACCGATAAAAACAAAACAAAAAAGACAAAAAAAAAAAAAAAAAAAGAAAGAAAGTCAACCAGTTCTGAGAAATTCAAACCAGTACTAAAAAGAGTTTATAAAAACACAATTACTAGAATGGTATAAATAAACAGTAAACCAAACTGATTGCTGGCTATTGATGTCTTCAGTCATTGCACACTATCCTAATCACCTTTATTCTATTAAGAGCAACAAAACTAGGAAAATTATGTAAGTAGCAAAGTCAGACTGAATGTAAAAGATATAACAAGGAGATTAACTCATTGAAAATGAATCATGAAAGGCAGAATAATGCTTATCAAATACAATACAAATGACATTTTTTCAATTGAACTCATATTATAAGCAAATAAAATTCTGTCTTCCCAAAAAGCAGCCATTTTCACAATTTATCTTCTGCAGTTATCTCTAGCCTCATCTTCCTTCTTTCCAAACTATCTGGAACCTACACTATCTACTTTCTCAAATATCTTTACATGTCTCTCCTGACCACAGCTTACTCATACAATTCTACTCAAAGCTGTATTATGTCAAATGGCGCTAGTATCCAAGAGACAGCATTTATCTTGATGAGTTCACCTATTCCATCTCAGCTTTGCAAACTTAGGAAGTGGATTTTCTTTACTTTTCATGCTCTGAGTGGAGTCATCTTGTAGTAGTAAAATATTAAGCTCACAAAAGACTAATGTTCAAACCCAAATTCCACTCAATTAACATTAGTTTACAATGAAGACTAACTGCCATGTAGGGTCAGCATAAATAGTCCACCATCTCACTATGGACTAAACTGAATGAGAAGTCGAACTATCATCAGAATGTTGTTTAATGAACAGGAGACCAGAGCAAAAAGATTTCATTTTGTAAAGTAATGTTTAAATGGCACCAGGATAATGGGAGCCCAGCAGGTCCATCTATACATTAGGGATTTATACACCACAACAGCAAGGGTGTTCTATTTTGTTCTCTTGAAATTCTAGTTACTTCTTACAAGTGCACTTATAAAAGACCAAGGATTGCTTGTTTCCAGTTTATTTTTTGCTTCCTGCCTCATCATATAATCTCTCTAGTTTGTACACACTCTTACCATGTTGCTATCTGCCATGAAGTGAGGCTGGGGTCACTAACTACAGGCCAAACAGCTTAATCTTGGATTTTCAGCTTCCATGAGCCACAAAAATGTCTTTTCTTCATATACATTATTCAGCCACAGATTTTGTTATAGTAACTAAAACTGTAGACTCGATATTATTCTGTGTATCTCAGAAACAGTAAATTTTATAGGCATGACTTTTTTGTAGTGCATATTTATCATACACAATTATGATATTCACCACAGGGAATCTGTACCTGTACACAGTAAAGACACGACTTCTGGTCTTACAGAGCCAACAAATCTACAACTCTCTCCAAGAAATGTCATCACTTTGGTTGTGTCACAATGTAGTTTAGGGACATCTGCAATGAACAACAGTTACAGTACCCAACAATTTAACCCTTTGTCCTAGTTTCATGTTTCACACAGGGGAAAGTTTGTACTAAATGGGAAAGGTGATCTATTTCTGGACAATGAATAGGTCAAGAAATTGGCTAAAGGGAACCAAACCATTCTCACAGATTGGAGGATGATAAGATTAATGAAGGCATATGGTAATAATTAGGCTCAAGAATCCCTCATTTTTTTGATTTTTCAGAAAGGGTAATACCCAATGGCCTATAATAATATTACCACATTTTTAGAGAAGTAGAGGCAAAACACAGTATTTTGGAGAATGTTTCAAAATACAGAAGAGACAGTCTACCCACCATTGTTTAGGAGGAAGAGACACAGATTCCTTGGGCTAGGGAATGTAAGAAGGGCTGGGAAGTGAAATGAAGCTAAACATGGTAATTCAAGGGACTCAAGAACATAGCTTTCCTCAACAAAGGCCAAGCTAAAGAAAGAACCTGAGAGAATAAAGCCAACCCTTAATTTTCCAAACAAGAAACCAATGCAATTAAGTAACACTTCTAAAGTCAAAGAGCCTACAACCCAGGACTTCAGTATTCTGTGTTCTCTCTCTTAAATGCTAATAGACTGAGTTTTTCAAACAGGATTTAAAAAGACAGTATGAAAAACTCAGAAAAGTGATCAGCAGATGAAAGCTAATGTAGCATTAAAGTGGAAAAAAGTAACTCAAAACATGACAAATGAGCATTATTATAAATGAAAATATATGACAACTGGTATATTCACAACAAACTACCAAAAAAAACCCAAAAAGCTCATTTAATTTGCATAATATATTACAAATTACTAAGGGCTGTCTACCGATCTACCTGTGTAGTCATAAAATTTATACTTGGCCAATTTTAGTTACATTAGGTACTAATAACCCACTAAGCAAGGTATACTTCCATTATCAGGACGCCACAGGCCTTTATGAAGCTTCCACTTTATGACATGAAAGGCTTATACTGTTAGCACTTATGCCTAAAGGAAGTAAAAAGTGAAAGTGTCTACAGTCTCATCACACACACACACAAACACACACACACAATAATGGCCTGTAATTCCAAGGGTAAAAAATATTCTAACTATAAATTTATGCTTCACTAAGCTCTTTACAACTCAGAACAGTCACTTTCTTAGAGACTCTAAGATTATAAGGAGACATAATCCTAATGGAAATATTACAAATTTTATAAAACTGAGCATAACCAAAATAATATCTCTTTGGTAAGCTTATATGATTCTTTCAAAGTCTTGTGAGTTCCAGAAATACTACTTTACTATCAACGATTTATTAGATTAGATAAAAAAAATGCCCCATACCTTAACAGAAACATTGTTAAATAAAGCACACATGTGTGACAAAATAAACCATTAACTGGCAAATACAAGGCTTTACTTTTACTGTGAACTACAGTAAACAAGCATGAAAACATATCAGTCCAAGATCCCAATAAGACATCATCAGAGATAGAAGAGAAACAAGGAAACATCAGAAAAAGAGGAAATCAAATTACATTAAAGGCAAAAATTAAAACTAAGGCAATTTAATTCAGTTATTGAAAGTTTGCCCTGTTGAAAGTACAGACCTACACACATCAGCTACAAAGTTTTGAAGAAAAATATTTTCTTAATTCAAAATAACTGCTGTATCTAAGCTTTAAATCTGGGACTCTGATGTTATAAAGCAAATCATGAAACATTCCTAAACAAAAATTACATTTGTCTGAAAGCTACTTATCTGAGTCTCCAAAAAAGGCCTATGTTATTATACCAGCAGTTGACTCAGCTGTAACAAAGTTAAGGTAACTCCAGCTGGAGCAGGGATTACTGAACATGAAGGGACTGCTATGGATAAGAGTGTAGTATGGAATATTACCATAATGTCTTGCAAAATAGCCCCAAATCAACAAATTAATTCTGCTGTTTTGTCTTAACCTATTTTTTTTCATTTTATGGAAAAGATAAAACAAAATTTCATAGCAAATTAATAAGATGTAATATGTACTACATATTGTTATCTTGAAAATAGTTAATCTGAGCACAAGATACGGGCATAAAAATTCTACAAATATCAGCATAAACCATTCATTTCAATGCACTAAGAGAAACTGGCAGCATAACTAGCTTGCATTTTTTTCACGTTTCCTTTTTTCCTTTCTTCTTTTCCCACTGTAGTTCCTCTTCCTTCTGAACAATTTCTTCCCACTTTAAATATCTATTGTACATATTGGTCCTTATTTCCTCTGAGTTTCTCACAGCAGGGAAACAATACAATGTTTACACATGTAAGTCTGATTTATTTCACCTACCAATATGCTCTCAAGTTGTATCCGTTTACTTATAAATGTCTCAACTTTATCCTTCTTTATGGCTGAGTAAGTATCCCACTGTATAAAAAGACCGTATCTTTTAACATATTCCTTGATTGATGGGCATTTGGGTTGTCTCCAAAATTTAACGATTATAAAGTGTGCTGCTTTAAACATGGGTTCACATG